TTTCGGGCGATGAGTTGGAAAAACCCGTTAAACTCGGGGGAACAGGACGGGTTTAGGATTGTGAACCTATTATTGTGACATATTAATTGGACTCCAAAAAGGTTCACAAAAGGCATAAAACTGCAGTCTGTAGGGACTTGGCTTTTGGAACCCGGAGGTTGCCGGTTGGTCCCACAGACAACCAAAATTAATGGGTGTTGGACTGGCAGTTTCACTTGCCTGTGGACTGCCGGATGGTGCCTTGAGCAAGGGCAAACCAACCCCGAAACCTTGCTATTGGGGTAAATGTGGCAAAAGCCCCATCCACTTCCACCATCTCTCTCTTTGATGTCCACATGTGTATTTGAAAGTTGTGTGTGTGTTTGTGTATAAAAAAAGAGTGGAAAAAAAACAATTTTCCCCTTAGGGGATCAATTAAAAAGTATATCTTCTTCTATCGTTCTTCGTTGTTTGGACGCTTCAGAATAAGTGTGTGTTAAGCCGTAAATTAAGAATTAAACTCCAGGATTTTACACACGTGTTAGATAGATAGGATAAGATAGATAGATAAGATTAGATAGATAGATAGATAAGAATTAGATAGAATTAGAATAGATAGGATTAGACTTTATAATTCCGCGAAGGAAATTTGCTCGTCATAGGCAAGCCATAAAAACAATAGAATAAAATACTTAGATAGAAAAGATAAAAAGATAAAATAGATAAAGGTGAAAAAGTTGACCAGCGCCTCATGAGCAGGTTTCGGGGTTAGGTTGCCTTGCTCAAGGGCACCTCGGCAGTGCACAGGAGGTGAAACTGGCACCTCTCCAGCTACCAGTCCACACTCCATATTTTGTTGTCTGTGGGACTTGAACGGGCGACCCTCCAGTTCCCAAGCCAAGTCCCTACAGACTGAGCTACTGCCGCCTGCAACGGTGGAATGGAAAAAGGTGATACAGAGAGTGCTGTATGTATTTACTTTTCACAGAAATGGGAGTGGTGCTAAGAGACCCCCAGATGTGCGTTTCCTGGAACCATATGATCCAAATTCTCCATAGACAGTTTGGTGTTAATGATGTAACAGCACAGGTTGTCTGTTTCTCCTACAAAGATATGCTCTCACTTTTATCTGTCTGGTTGCTAAGCAATGGCTCTTCCTGCAAAACTGGAATCCCATCTCTGCCGCAGCATCAGTGGTCGCCTATCTCTCCTCTCACCATCTCAAACGGACGGACTTGATATCCCCTGAGGGTC